ACATTTCCTACAAAACAAAAAACAAAATATACATAAATATAAAAGTAAATTGAAAAACATAATAAAATAAACATATATACATGAAAAATTTTAAAGTTCACCAAATATAACCTAAAAAAAAAAAGTTGTTGTTGAGGTCATATACAGACCGATACCGGTCCGTATAGGTATATACGAATCGATACCGGTCCGTATAGGTATATATGGACCGATACCGATCCGCATAGGTCATTTAAAGAAAAAAAAACAATAAAAAATAATTTAATTCGATATTCCTTACATAATTTTATGATATTGAATTATTTTCATATAATTTATGATGTTTATCATATAAAATGCTAGAAATTTTTTTTAAATTTAGTATAAATATATAAGTCTCCAATATCTATTACAAATATAAAGTCAATACAAATATTTAATTGAAATATAAAAACCCTAAATATCTCGGGATGTCCTAAGGGTGATTGTTCCACTGGTATCCGCTGGGGTCATCCCTAAATGCTGGTAGAGTTGCTACATTTATGTCGCAAGGGTCGATTGTTGTTGCCGTAGGCTATCATTATTTACCAAAACATTAGACATTTTTTGTCGAAGGCTATGATTATCTACCTTCAATGCTTCAACAGTCTGTTGTAATTCGATAACCCTATTAGACTGTCCTATAATGGGTGGCCTGAATGGTTCTTGTCTAGATGTGCTCGCACCTATATCCTGTGGATGTGTGTGAATATCCAAACCTTTCAACCATCCTTTCTTGACCCCACCAGTTGCCCTAAGTAATATCTTAGCATGAGGTATTGTAGGGTCAAATCCTTCTTCCTCTTGTCTAGTAGCATATTCAGCTGTCAATTTTTCCTGAAATAATATAAGACAAAATAAATAATTAATTGTATTGAAAATTAAAGTGAAATTAAAAATATCACTTTAGGCACCTAAATTCAATTTACTCTCCTCTAAAAGGATGGAGTTCTAACTTTTTACCAATAACTATATTGTACGATAGTTTAAATATTATAACTAAAATAATTTCAATTAATTCATAACACGATTTAAAATAAAATTGTTAAGTTAAATACTTACTCCAATTTCTTGAGCATCATCATTACAATATACAGGTAGTTGATCTTTTCCTTTTCCTTTGTGCTGCCTTCTACTGGTGTAAACCTCAGGATATGTTGGTGGACGACCCTCGGGGTTTGCTTGTTGCTGTAAAGAAAAAAAAAAGAGAAGAGAAAATATTAAAATCAATATAAAATAAATTATAAATCATAAATCATTAATTATTCATTAAAAATATGTTAACTTTTATACCATTTTCTTTCTATAAACATTAACGTCCATTGAACCGTTGGTATGCATCACCCTCGGTCCTTTTGCTCGATTAGCCCTTGCAAAATTTGACCTTCTCAAATGACCCTTGTCCTGTAAAAGTGGTGAACACATATAATTTTTTAATAAATAATATGATAAAAACATTAAACATTACAATTGAAAATTAAAAAAATAATAATAATAAACACATGAATTAACTCCATTACCTCAGTCCATAAATGAACAAGCTTTGCCCATAACTCTGGATTCATATCTGGAGGCTTAGCTTGAAAGTTTCTCTTTGCACACTTAGCTTTCAACTCACTAAGTGCATGCTTGAACTTGATCCCTGCTGTCATGTTCCATAAATCTTTTACAATCTGATCAATTGTAGGATCCCATTCATATGTTTGCTGAAAATAATAGAAATATAAATAAATACATAATTTAATAAAAAATATTAATGATAATAACAAAAAAATTTCAAGTTACTTAAACTTTGAAGATAGAAATTGAAAATATCTAATTTGTAGATAGAAATTAAGTGTTTAGGGCGTACACTGAATATATTTCAATACATGTCCCGATGCTCTCGAAGGACCTATCCCCACGTTGTGTAAGCATCTGGGAGATTCTCCCGCAACTGGACCACAATCTGTCGTCTGACCTGTTGTGGCAAACGACCATACTCATCTAGCTCCAATGGGATCTTCGTCCCATCTGTAGGCATCTGCACGGGCTTAGCTAGCCCCCGTCCCTATCTCTGTTGGGGAGTATCCACAGGTGTATCCTCATCACTAGGAGACTCAGCCTGTATATCAGCATCTGAAGCTGGAGTCTCCAGAACCACATCAGTTGGAACCTCCTCCTGAAGTCATCTTTGGGGGTCAAATGGGTTTTGCCGTTGCGGTTGGGTGGAATCAACAACCTCGGTGCAACGAGAACTACAGCAATCCACTGTAAAAAAAATATAACAAATGCAAAATAAATCATTAATACAATGTAATTTAAATGCAATAAATAAATTACTATTAATATCATAATAAAAATTAAAAATAGT